GAAAGTCTAAAGAGTGTGGGTGCGGTGGCTCACGCCTGTAATCTCAGCACTTTGAGAGGCCGAGGTGGGCGGCTGAGGTCAGGAGTTCAAGACCAGCCTGGCCAACATGGTGAAACCCCATCTTAAAAAAAAAAAAAGTCTGAAGAGGAAAAACTATAAAGTCAAGAGGAGGAAACTGTAGAAAGTAAAAAGTTCCTCTTCAAAGTTTCCCTTCTTGTTAAAGGATAATAATAATATATGTCAGACTAACTTTAGTCTTTTAAAGACTAACCTTCTTCAAAGCCTTCTAGATTTTTGCTAATAACTTTGCTAAACCCTATCCTATACAGCTGTTAGATATAAGGGAGTAAGTACACTCTATGTCCTTGTACTTTAACCAAGATATTTAGGTACATAATACATTCTGTGTCCTTGTACTTTAACCAACATATTTATGTTATTACTTTTCTAAGTCTTTTCAAAAGCAACTTCCTCTGCCTTCTTTATTTGGACTTCCTCTTTTCCTTTTGTTCTCCATTACCTTTACCTATTTAGAAAAGTTTTAAGTCGTTAGCCAATTGGGTTCAGTTTATATTGTGAGGTCTGGCTCCAACCAACAAAGATTGGACACAGCAGTAAGGACCCAATGCATAAGGAATAAATATGCCTGCCTTTCCTTTGTTCATTGTACTCTTGTGGCAAGATGGCTGATGAGCAGCATCCTTTCTACAAAGTAAAATTGCCTTGCTGAGAAAACTTTGTCTGAATACCAATTTTTCCTTGTGGTACCTAGGAACGAGTATTCTGTCTCTAACAGAGGGTAAGGGAGGGGTGATATCAAAGATGATTCCCTGGTTTTTGGCAGGAACAAATGGGTGGGTGGAGGTGTCATTTGCTGAGAAGAGGAAAACCAAAGAAGCAGATTTGTAGGAAACGTAGAGTTTAGTTTCGGACATTTTATGCTGGAGATGCCTGTGAACATTTAGGTGGGGATGTCAAATAGGCAGCTGCATATGTAGGTCTGGAATGAGAGGAGTGTATTTCCTTACTATTTCTTTTTCTTTTTTAAAGAGCTGGTGGTGGTGGGGGGTTTCACTGTATTTCCCGGGCTGAGCTTGAACTACTGAGATCAAAGGAATCTCCCTCAGCCTTCTGAGTAGCTGGGACTACAGGCATGTGAACAGCTTTGTCTGAATTCTTTTTTGGGCTAGGTTTTAAAAAACTGTATCTAAAAGCAGACTATTGACAACCTCATGAGTAAGCAGAACTGACTACAGTATTAGACTTTGTTGCTGAAGTAAAATCTGACTTTTCAGAGTTGATAGGGCTTTTATTTTTTGAGTAAAGTGAAGCTTCCTTATAACCAAGGGAAATGACAGAGAATGTTCACTGCATGGGCAGTTGGTCACTTCACATAAAATCACAAGCTAACTCTCTAACAAAATGGTCAATTCCTACTGACAGTGTTCTGCAAATAGGTCCAGATATGTTATAGGCTGTTTAACATGGTTGTAGAAGCAGGTCACATGTATACCTTGTATAAAAAAATGGGTTCTTGGCCGGCCATGGTGGCTCAAACCTGTAATCCCAGCACTTTGGGAGGCTGGGGCAGGCAGATAACAAAGTCAGGAGCTCGAGACCAGCCTGGCTAGTTTGGTGAAACCCCGTCTCTACTAAAAATACAAAAATTAGCTGGGTGTGCTGGCACAGGCCTGAAGTTCAAGCTACTCAGGAGGCTAAGGCAGGAGAATCACTTGAACCCAGGAGGTGGAGGTTGCAGTGAGCTGAAATCCTGCCACTGCACTCCAGCCTGGATGACAGAGCAAAACAAAAAAGGGTACTTCTGGCTGTTTCTTCCACACTGTTTATTCTAGGTTGCCAACTGGCATACATATCCTATTGATTCTTTAAAAATTTGAACACAGGGAACCTCCTTCTGCATTTGTAGAATGCATCCAGCAGATTAACACCATGACTTCCTCGGCTTAGGTATATGCATCTTGTTCTAGGTAAAAGTGATTCCAATTTAACTCTCAAATGGGCTTCATTTTTGGCCGTTTACAAGTGCTCTCGTTTTTGCTGCAGAGACTTATTGCTTTTAAAGGCTAAATTCAATGACAATCTAGCGTTTTAGCATGTTATCTGAAACACACTGGGAATCTCCTAAAGCAATGGAATAGTTCATGTCCTATACATTGACAGGGGATATTGCTTCCTTCTAGTGTTTGGGGGCAAGTCCAATATAGCATCTCCAGCCACTTAATTAATCATTACCTATGAATGTGTAACAAAAAGTTTTGTTTCATTCTCAAGAAATTTCATACATCAATCAGCAGGTCATTTGAAGAAGTGGTATTTTGTTTTTCTGTTTTTGAGACAAACTCTTGCTCTGTTGTCCAGGCTGGAGTGCAGTCAGTGGCATGATCACTGCTCACTTCAGCCTTGACCTTTTGGACTCAAGCAATCTTCCCACCTCAGCCTCCTGGGTAGCTGGGACAAGAGGCTCACGCTACCACACCTGGCTAATTTTTTGTTGTTTTTTTTTTTGAGACAAAGTCTCACTCACTCTGTCGCCCAGCTGGAGTGCAGTGGTGCAATCTTGGTTCACTGCAACCTCTGCCTCCTGGGTTCATGCAATTCTCCTGCCTCAGCGTCCTGAGTAGCCAGGATTACAGGGGTGCGGCGTCACATCCAGCTAATGTTTGTATTTTTGGTAGAGATGGGGTTTCACCATGTTGCCCAGGCTGGTCTCAAACTCTCAGCCTGAAGTGATCCACCCACCTCGGCCTCTCAAAAGTGTTGGAATTACAGACATGAGCCACTGCACCTGGCAAAAGAAATAGGTTAAACACAACCGAAGGCATCCCTGGGTGGGCCCGAACAAATCTTTTAAATTTTTTGTAGAGACAGGGTTTTGCTATGTTGCCCAGGCTGGTCTCAAATTCCTGGGCTCAAGCAATCCTCCTTCCTTGGCCTCCCAGTGTTGGGATTATAGGCATGAGCCATAGGACCTGGCCAAAAGTTTTGTTTTTGTTTTAAATGCCAGAGATGAAATGAGATGGTGTGGAGATTAGACTTTAAAGTCCCTGGAAGAATACCTAGTTTTCTTGAAAGCCCCTTAATCTAGTAAGTTGGACACACTATTTTGTCATTCTGTCATTCAACTGGCAATTCTATAGTGTGGATATATACTGTGTATATATGTGTGTCTATGTGTGTGTGTTAGGGAGGGATACCTAGAAGATACTGTTTATTTTCCAAGAACTCATGGTTTAGTAGAAAACTATGAATAACAGAGGAAAAGATAAAGGACTGTGAAAAGGGGTAATTCTGCCTCAGGAAGCCTGAGAAGACTTCACATAAATAGTAACGTTTGCATGTTTCTGATACAGGGTCTCACTCTGCCTTTCTCACTGCAGTCTCCACCTCCCAGCCTCAAGTGATCCTCCCACCTCAGCCTCAGGAGTACCTGGAACAACAGGAATCACCACCACGCCAGGCTAATTTTTTGATTTTTTGTAGAGGCAAGGTCTCACTATGTTGACCAGGTTGATCTCCAACTCCTCGAGGCAAGCAATCCTCCCCGCTTCGCCTCCCAAAGTGCTGGGATTACAGGCGTGAGTCACCGCGCCTGCCTGAAGTTATAAGCTCTAAGAGTAATATTTCGTGGATACAGGAGCACATTCTGGATGCAGAGATCTTGACCATAATATGAAGGGCTATGTGTGATATGGACATCACACACACTCATAAAGCATATTATAAAGATGCTAGCTTTAAAATCAGTCTTGTGCTCACTTTGGCAGCACATATACTAAAATTGGAACAATATAGAGAAGATTAGCATGTTTATATAAAAAAATTTAAAAAAATCAGTCTTAGGTTGTCTGGAATTTTTGACATAAATTCTAAGAATTCCAGGAGCTCCTGAGCTACATGAGAATCAAAATGAACCTTTTGGAAAAGTCACTATTACCAAAAGGTGGGCATGTCTAATGATATCTTAAGATAAAAATAAATGAGGCCGGGCGCGGTGGCTCAAGCCTGTAATCCCAGCACTTTGGGAGGCCGAGGCGGGTGGATCACGAGGTCAAGAGATCAAGACCATCCTGGTCAACATGGTGAAACCCCGTCTCTACTAAAAATACAAAACATTAGCTGGGCATGGTGGCGCGTGCCTGTAATCTCAGCTACTCAGGAGAATTGCCTGAACCCAGGAGGCGGAGGGTGCGGTGAGCTGAGATCGCGCCATTGCACTCTAGCCTGGGTAACGAGTGAAACTCCGTCTCAAAAAAAAAAAAAAAAAAAAAGATAAAAATAAATGATAATTACCCTCGCTTGAAACCAGAAAATATTAAATAGACTTCCCTTCAGTCAATCATTCTAGTTGTTTCTAACCAGGAATACATGGTTTGAGCACCATACCCACTTTTCCTTTGCTAATATTCTGGGAAGTGGAGACAAATGTGGAACCACTACCACCTTAAGATAAACATTCTTGGTATCACCTTCATGTCACTTGCTTATAACAGGAGTTTGGTAAGATTACATTTTTAGGACGTTTTCAGAACTTGACCTGTATTCTTAATTATTCTGTAATGTAAATTCTACTAACTTGATTAATAAAACTTATTTATAATCTTCCTTTGAGATTTTTGGATAGTGTTCAATTAATACAAATTCGTTTAACTACAGTGGAAAACAAATACTTAAACTCTTAAGGTTTTTGCTGGATTCTGCAAACTCGTCTTTGTTTTCCCCGTGCCCGAACACTTAGTCAACAGACAAATAATTATTTGTTGACTACAGAGGTACCTAGAAGCTTCATCTTCTTCTAAAGATACTGCTGGAAGCAGTAAATCCCAAAGTCCGAATAATCCAGTCTCCAGCCAAGGCATAGGGAATATTTAACAGGTGTATAAAAAGTAATTTTACTGTTACCCTGAATGAAATGCCTAACAGTGTTACAAAAAAACAAAACAAAAACCAACAAAACCCCAAACTCAAACCTCGTCAAGTTGACTCACGGCATTTATATGTTCTATGTGCAAGAACTGGAGAACATTCAGCGAACACTTGATTTAACGCACATCCCAACTATTAGTAAACGAATCACGGTACACTTTAGAATCTTTAAACAACAAAAGCAAAGCAAAAACAATGTTTTCCTTAAGATATGCAAATTACCTGCTTCTTTAGACCAAAAAAAAAAAAAAAAAAAAAAATTCAGGAGAAAAGCAGGCAAACAAAAATCTTACTTGGAAAGCCAAATCTTAAAAAGAAGCCCTATCGGCGCAGCGACGAAAGGCGAAAACCTCAATGTCACCCGGTCCCGGGCGGCGACGGCAGGGAGAGGAGCTGCGACAATCACTGCGCTCGCGGCCAGCTGCGGCGCCTGACTCCGAGCTCCGCGGGCGTCCGGGTGGACAGAGCCAGGGGCACAGGGCTGACACCTCAGACCTAATTCCCTCCTCGAGCGCGAACATCCAGGCTTAAGCTGCCGCAGGGTGTGAGTCTCCCCTCCCCCCTCCAAACGCCGCAGATGTACGGGACACAGCCGCCTTCGGGGACGTGCAGCCACACCCCAAGCCTGACGAGGCTGCTCTCGACCGCTACTGGAGTGGTGGGGAGGGTGACTGGACTCCAGGAATCCTCGGAAGGGCGGGGGCGGAGGCAGGGGGCCCCTCTAGCCGCGACTTCGAAACATCACTCCTTGTTCTCGATGGTCCCCGCGCGACCGTCTTAGCGCACGACACTTCCGGTTCCTTTTAAAGGCCCTCCACGCTGCGCGACGCTGAGCGTGAGAGGAAGGTATAAAGGGGAGTGAGAGGGCCGGACCGAGGAGGAAGGGGAAAAAAACCTAGGGGAAGGGGGCGGTGGGGGAGGCGCGAAGGGCGCGCTCTCGCGTCACGTGACCGGGACGCGCCGTTCTTCCGTCGGCCATTTTAGGTGGTCCGCGGCGGCGCCATTAAAGCGAGGAGGAGGCAAGAGCGGCCGCCGCTGGTGCTTATTCTTTTTCAGTGCAGCGGAAGAGAGCGGGAGTGTGCGCCGCGCGAGAGTGGGAGGCGAAGGGGGCAGGCCAGGGAGAGGCGCAGGAGCCTTTGCAGCCACGCGCGCGCCTTCCCTGTCTTGTGTGCTTCGCGAGGTAGAGCGGGCGCGCGGCAGCGGCGGGGATTACTTTGCTGCTAGTTTCGGTTCGCGGCAGCGGCGGGTGTAGTCTCGGCGGCAGCGGCGGAGACACTAGCACTATGTCGGAGGAGCAGTTCGGCGGGGACGGGGCGGCGGCGGCAACGGCGGCGGTAGGCGGCTTGGCGGGCGAGCAGGAGGGAGCCATGGTGGCGGCGGCACAGGGGGCAGCGGCGGCGGCGGGAAGCGGAGCCGGGACCGGAGGCGGAACCGCGTCTGGAGGCACCGAAGGGGGCAGCGCCGAGTCGGAGGGGGCGAAGATCGACGCCAGTAAGAACGAGGAAGATGAAGGGTGAGTAAGGGGCAGCCCAGGATAGTCAGGCCCAACTAGTCCCCCTCCCCCTCCTTATTCCCCCGCCATTAGGCCTGGTTCCCGCTCTCAGCCCATCCTCTGGGCCCCCATGCAGCTTTCTTCCACTGGTCTCCCCTTGTCTACGTTGGGTTTCCTGGACCTTCATTTATTTCCTTCTTGCTCTGCCTGCTTATCGCCCCCTCCCCCATCACACACGTTTCCACCTTTAGCCGTCACCATGCTGCTCCTTGGCCCGGCCTCCCTCCCTCGCCATGGGTCTCCTCCCACTGACTTAGCCGCCAGGATTTTTTCCCGCCTGTCGAGGGGTACCTTTTTTCTTTTCACGCTGTCCCCTCTTTTTTCCTTTTTCTAAAGTCTTGGGCATAAAAACGCAGATAGAGACAAAAAGCTTCCCTGTTTGTATTACTAAGGTTTATTTGGTGCTTCTCCACCATCCAGAGACGATGCGATTGTTTATAATCACGTTTTGGGGAACGCGTAGGCTGTCTACCTCTGCCTCTCCCGTGTCGGCTTCAGGCCGAATGTTTTCTTGGGATTTTGAGTAAGTTTCGCCTTAGGACTTTTCTCATTTTCTCCACCGTACGCTGTCGCACAATGGCATGCTCATATAGGCCCTACAATTTGACATGCAGACCACATTGGTTCTGGTGAAATGGTCCGAGTTTCTTGTTGGTACGTTGGTTTTGCTCCGCGGGCTCTCGTTAAGTTCCTAGTCGATGGGGCCTGCGCTTGACTGGAGCTGTTCCTATCTCCGGCCTAGTATCTACCCTTCCCCCACCCCACTGAGTTATTCTAACCGCGCACCCTTTCGCGCCCTCAGCTATTGGGTTCCCGAACTGTTAGTGCAGATTGTACTTCACTTTTTATGTGCAACTGAATTTTTTACACCCCCCTGTTTTTTCGGTGCCCAGGATCCTATTTTGGTGTCTTGATTTCTGTTTCCCGCCCACTAAGGGAGGCCTATAGTTCTTTTTCTTAAGAGAAACAAATCCTGTTTTGTGTTGTGAGATACTTTCTTTTTTCCTTTTTGGTGCAGATTTCTTAGTATTAACTTGGCTCTTCTAATTGGAGTAACAGTTGTATATACGACCTAAATCTGCATTTAGTGCATTAACATGCTGCATTTGGGATTGGGAACATAATACGGGAGTTAGTAGGAGGGGCTAAATTGGGGTTCTTGGTTGGGTTTTCTTAGCTCCGATTACTGACTGATGATCGTGGGTTCATGCTTCCATTTTTGTAATGGGGAGGGGTGTGTGTGTGAATTTTTTTTTTTAACTGTAAGGAGAAAGGTGTTGGTGGATATAACAGTAAGATGTCGCTTTAACCCAGTATTAGAAAACACGATTTCCTTTGCTGAGAAAGAGCACAAGATTTGGAGGGAGAGTGGGGAGGGGAGAAGCACTTTGGAATATAAGATTTATTAAACTCAGCCTAAGCAGATTCTTGTCAGGCTGATCATAGTGCTGGTTTTGGGGGAGTGGTGGTGGGAAGGGAAACAAACTTTTAAAATTAGATAGAACTAACTTGAATTGTATATAGCTTATTTGAGAAAGGCAGATGTTAGATACTTGTAAATTAAAGTCTTTAACATTTTGGTTTTCGTTTGCTGAATTCTGTTCTTTGGACAGAGGCACCAAAATGATTAAATGTATAACTTGCTGTTTGGGGCAGGCTGTTAGCCCTGATAAATCACAAAGCAGCTGACTTTATAGTTTACCTACTGTTGAACTGAAGTGTAAATGAATTAAAGTTTTTAACCCTAACAGTGTCAAAAACTAAAACTAGAATTTTGATTGGTTGCTGTACCGGTTGTTAATTCCCTAGCCATTCAAACTCCTCCCCACGACACACTGAAGCAGCGACGGCACAGCGGGAAGAATGGTAAAACTTTTAAATTTTATTTCTGTATTATAAAGGTTTCAGTAGTCATAACATGCAAGGTTATGTATTGGTTAGTTGCCCATTGATCCCCAGGACATTCTAGACGATAGTACAGTAGGCTTGTACCTGGGATATATACCTTTTTAGGCATCAGATATAATCTTTGGGCAAAATTGATGCCGTTACATGGTATTTGGTCTGTGGTAATGCATGTAGTTGCGGTTTGGCGATTTAAGCTAAACATAATTAGTAACGATATTTTTATATCTGAGTAAGAAAAAATATTACTGTAATCTCCACATTTGATTTTAAGATGAAAAATATTTTTGTTGGATTTCTAAGATTAATGCTAAATGTGAAGACTACTTGATATAAAATGTGTTTAAGATGTCATGCATGTTATACTGAAATATTCTGGAGATGTCTGAAGCAGTTCTTTAAGCAGCACTGTGTATTATGCAAAAATGCTTGTCTTTTATTACCTACCATATTTGTAACTAGACCTTTAATAAAAATTGTGTGTGTGTAGATATATATATATAAAATACCATTCAAAGGTGGGCTAATGTGGCTTTCCACTACAGCTCTTACCAGATTTTTTATTTTCAGTGTGATTTGGCTGGAATATTAATTACAGTTGGTTGACATGTATTCACAATTGCATGACTTCTCTTTGGAGGCTGGTAGGTTGAGTATTGTTCTTTTTATCCACCCTTTCCCCTTCCCTAAATGTCAGTCCTTCTGCCTTTAGGATTATATTTGAATTTTCAGGGGTTTAAACACCACTACTGGAGATTAGAGGGCCACTAACTTGCAGACAGTTGTCTTATATCTTTACAAGCTACATTCTAAGAGTCCACTTAGGGTAATATTTAAAGATTTGCTTATTACTGTATTCTTATCCACTGAAATCAGTCCAGCTTTACGTTGGAGAAAAAGCAGACTGGAAACAGTAGGCAAGGGGAAAAGCAGAAAAGAAAACACTGGGGTCACAGTTTAGATGAATGTTATTCTCATATTTGGTGAATGTTGAGCACTTAACAGCTCAATTTCACTGCTAGCTAATAATGGCAAATTAAGATTACTCCATTAAATATTTCGAATCTCATGTATGTAATTGTTTCCAGTAATCTGAAATGACGATAAACTTAGATTTGAAGATCAGTGTTTTCACTCTTTAAAAATAATTACACTTGCCCTGCTACCTAAAACGAGGTAATACAATCCAACTTTTTTGAATGATTAGGAAAAATGGACAAATATTTATATTAATAGTTAACAAATGTTTTAGATAGTCACCAGTTGTCATTTACTGAAAATAAAATTTTACCCAGGTTGACTTTAAAATTACGCATTAAAATAATGTCTCATTTTTAAGGGGTCTAACATTTGACTTTTCTTAACTGTTTAATCATGCAGCCCCATTCTGTTATAGACATGAAGGCTTTCTTTTTGAATGAAAAACCTCCAGACCTAAATTTTCGTGTGTGTGTGTGTCTCTACACTTGCCACTCTATCTGTCCCTTTCTTTGTCCCATTTTGAGGGATAGTATATGGCGACAGTTATATAGTGTCAATAGTGGGTATTAGACTGGTTAATAGATACAGTATCTAAATTGAATTTCTTAAACGCAGTTTTGTGTGCATTTCCTTCTACAAATCTGAGAATAAAGTGATTACGATTTCATCCTAAAATACTTAAAAAATCAGTTGGTTTTAGAATCAGTTTTTTTCCTTTTGCATGTAAGAATGGACAGCTATTTTTAGGGAGGCATACCTGTTATACCTCTAGTGGCTGTTTCTATAGTTTACTATGGGACTTATTAGAATAAGTAATTATTTCCATAGTATGACTTCATGAGTTACTCTTTCCAACATTAACATCCGTAGTTTTTACTTAAAAGCATTGGAATTTCTCATTTTACTTTGTGGTGTGGACACATTCCGTACTCTGCAGTGCTGCAGTTCATTTGGGGTAGGTACTTTAAAATTACTTAGTGCTGCAGTTCATTTGGGGTAGGTACTTTAAAATTACTTAGTGTCTGGCAAAATATACATGCCATGTAGCAAGTTATCTAGGGGCAGAGTTTTTAAAATCTAAAAATTAGTGGAACCTACAGTGTTGTGTTAACCTTGAGGTAGTTTTATAAGGTAGGTACGGTGACTTTCCTGCATTGGATTGGGTAGGAAGCAAAATAGTCCCCCATTCACTTAGCCAAAGTCTAGCAATATTTTAATAGCAGGACAGTACATCTGGTCCTTTTAATGGTTGATGTATAATGAGCTCAAGTGTGATTCTTCCTATTTGGGAATTTGTGAATCCTGCTGTAGTTTGTCCCGTTTAATGATAAAAGACTAGGCTCGTATTTTTGCTTTAAATGTTTGAGATTATGGTCTCATACCTTAGTGTTTCTGGGGCAATCTGAACATTGTTTGTAAAATAATTACTTTTAGAGTAGTCTCATGCCAAATTTACTGGCCTTGATTCAGTACAGTTGGGTTTACCGTATGTAGTAAAGTTGAGACCCTGAGTAGATTGGTCTCACTCAGCATTAGCATTGTTGGAAGCCTTTGACAAATTTCCTGAGTTAAAAATTCCAGAAATTGATGCTTCCAGATCTTGAGATGAACATTTAAGGGAGGAGTATTAAATACTTTTCATTGTAAATTTTTATCTATTATGAAAGATACTAAAAATCCGATAACTTTTAAGTTTGGAATTGGAGAATGTCATTGAAATTTTTCAGTGCTTGTTTTTGAGATACACATACTTTGCTTTAAATCTGGGGTTTTTCCATGTGACCCTTTCCAGAAACTCAGTGTATCTTTTTAATATTCCTAGGTACTCTGCCATCTGTCCTAAAACATAATATTAGGGTAAGGCTGCTCTAGTACAAGAACATTTGAGGCTACTATTGGGGGTGTGATTTATGGCCAACATGAAGGATGTGATTAGTTTTAGCCTTCAAGTGATAATATGTACCATGCTTGAAAGCATTTAAAAAGGAATAGAGTAATAACTTTTTTCCCATTCCACTTGAAGCTGTACACTTCAAGTGTGTGCACATTTACAAATGGAGTGAAATGTAACTTATGTTAGTCCAAGCTTGATTTGACTTCAGTTCTGCTTCAACATTTTAGTAGATAGGGTCACTGAACTGGATGCTGAAAGCCTGGGATCTCTTTCTGTTGCTTCATTTTCAACAGTGTGGTTTCAGGTAATACAACATGTTTGTTATTTGGTTTGCTGATCTGTGTGTTGGAAACAGTGTTCACCACAGGAAGATTGACTACATAGCCTGCTTTCATAGCTTGTGTGTATTTATCCAGTGCCCTAATAGTTGATACTGCCAGTGATTTACTCCTGTGGAGTAAAGGTAAGCATGTTTTAGTTTCTGGAGTATTTTATTGTACATTGGAGCTAGGTATTTAAGACTATTTGGGGGTGGGGAGGGAAGACTCCTATTTACTGGTGGTGCTTGGCCAATAATCAAGGTGTTTAAGTATTGGGTCGTGCACTGTAAACTCCTGCTTATCTAGACTTCAGACTACTACAGAGCCCACGCAGCCAGGAAGTCTGTCTCCCCATTTAGTCTTAGGAGAAAGAAGGATGAAGCCGTGTGAAAATATACTTAAAAAGCAACCAACAGACAATGTCATGGAATGAATCTCCTACAGATTTTTCCTTAAACTTTTGAAAAGTAACGTGATTTTAAAACATTGGAAAATTAAAAATTCTTCAAGGGAAAAATTATTTTCTGACTTGAGCACTGATACCTAAATTGATTTCCAATAGACGATTTTATAGAATTGTGAATATGTAGTAATCTCAGTTAACCAGAACCTTAACCTTTAGGTTAAGGAAAATACTTATTCCTTAACCTCTAGGTAAATGGGAGTTTACCTTACAAAGCTGATTGAGAGCTTACTTAAAACGTAACCATACAAGATGTCATTGGTTCCTTGTAATGAAATGAAAAAGGAGATGTTGGATTAAGCATTTAAAGGTAATTAAAAACATGGCAGCTTGTGCCTGTAATCACTATCAGAAGTCGGAGGTGTGAGGATCATTTCAGGCCAGGCTTTCTAGACCCACTAGGCAACATAATAAGACCCCTGTCTCAAAAAAAAAAATTAGCTGAGCGTGTTGGGGGTGGGGGTGTGTGTGCCTATAGTTTTAGCTACTCAGGAAGTGGGGGCGGGAGAATCTGTTGAACCCAGGAAGGAGCTCAGGGATGCAGGAAGCTATGATGGAGCCACTGCGCTCTGATAGTGAGACCTGGTCTGTTAAATGTTTACTATTTTTAGGCCAGTTGTGGTGGCTCGCGCCTGTAATCTCAGCACTTTGGGAGGCCGAGGTGGGTGGATCACCTGAGGTCAGGAGTTACAGACCAGCCTGGCCACCATGGCGAAACCCCATCTCTACTAAAAATACAAAAATTAGCCAGACGTGGTGGCACATTCCTGTAGTTCCCATTACTCAGGAGGCTGAGGTGGGAGAATCGCTTGAACCCTTGAGGCAGAGGTTGCAGTGAGACAAGATTGTGCGACTGCATTCCAGCCTGGGTGGCACAGCAAGACTGTGTCTCAAAAAAAAAAAAATTTTTTTTATTTCAAAAACTGTCATGTTGACTGGGCGTGGTGGCTCACACCTGTAATCCCAGCACTTTGGGAGGCTGAGGTGGATCACCTGAGATCAGGAGTTTGAGACTAACCTGGCCAACATGGTGTAAAACCCCATCTCTATTAAAAATGTGAAAATTAGCTGGGCGTGTCGTGGGCACCTATAATCCCAGCTCCTTGGGAGGCTCAGGCAGGATAATAACTTGGAACCTGGGAATTAGAGGTTGCAGTGAGCTGAAATTGCGCCATTGCACTCCAGCCTGGGCGGCAGCCTGGACTCCATCCTCCCCCCCAAAAAAACTGTCATATTTCATTTATTAGCTGTTTATGTTTTCAGCTTCACTTTTTTATAGTCAGTTCATTCTAAAGTATGAAGTAATGAGATTTAATACAGAGAAATTAGTCTTGCTTTGAAAATGTTTGGTCCATTGTATATTAGTCTTGAATAAAAATAGGATCCCTTTTCACACTTACCTTGAAAATGTATAGAGAAAGCTGGGGAAGAGAAATATCTATTCTTTAATAATGGGGAAATAATACCAAAATTTATATTTTTATTGACTAAAGTGTTTTTTGGGGAAGATTTGTTTATTGACCTTAATGTCTCATTTGTTTTAAATAGTTAAAAAAAAAAAAAAAAAGTAGGGTAGGTGCGGTGGCTCATGCTTGTAATATAGCACTTTGGGAGGCTGGGGTGGGCAGATTGCTTGAGCCTGGGAGTCCTGGACCAGCCTGGGCAACATGGTGAGACCCTGTCTCTACCAAAAAAAAAAAAATAAATAAATAACCAGGCCTGGTGGTGTGCACCTGTTGTCTCAGCTACCCAGGAGCCTGAGGTGGGAGGATTGCTTGAACCTGGAAGGCAGAGGTTAAAGTGAGCCTGTATTGCACCACTGCACCACACCCCGCTATAGATCGAGACTCTGTCTCAAAAAAGTGGTTTTCATGAATTATATGTCAAATCAGATCTAAAAAGGCTGGTTAGTATTTGAACTCAATTAAAGCTTGTCAAGCTCTTTCCCAGGGTAGTTTTTATATAGCTTCTAAAATAACTACCAATATTATCTAGTTGCATTGTAACCTCCTCCCTTCCCCTTAGGTAACTAGTGACTTAGCTTTCGTTTGTCATTTAAGATTTTAGAAGAATAATTATGATGGATAAAATACTGGAAAAATTCAGTAAGGATTAATGGTGTGCTTGAGTAACATTTCTTTAAAAGGTGACAGTGATTGGTCAGTTATATACCTGAAGTGTTTATCAGGTTGACATTGTTGTATTTTTTTAAACTGTCAGAACTTGTTATAAAGCCACATATGTAAGATCATAAGTTGTTAGGAAGTGATTAAAAGTTAAAGGATTGGCTGGGTGTGGTGGCTCATGCTTGTAATCCCTGCACATTGAGAGGCTGATCGCTTATGTCCAGGAGGTCAAGACTAGCTTGGACAACAAAGCAATACTTCGTCTCTAAAAAAAAAAAAAAAAAAAAAATGTGAAGTTAGAGAACACAAAAAAAGAACACTATCCCAAAATTGGGAGTGAGTATAATGGCTAACATTTTACCTTGAATAAGGTGTTTCACAATAAAAACTTGTTGGGGAGGGATCTTGGAATAAAATACTTAGTATTGACTTGGGAGTGTTAAAAACCTAGTGGCCTAAATAGTCCAGAGAATAAGTTTATTGACGGGGAAAGCCAAGATTATTTAATTGGAACATTTTCCACCAGCCAGGATTGCTCCATATATATTGTCTTTTATATTTTAAATTATTCTTAACTAAAATTACTGGCATAAATGTAGACCAGTCATCAAGGTGATTTTGGGAACTACATTTAAAGGGTCTTAGTTGAAATACCACCTAATTTTTAGTTTTTTTATGTGGACCATTTAAAAGTTTCTGGGTTACTTCAAGTCAGCAGCATTGAAAATACTAGAAAACTCATTGTGGCCTTTTCCTTTTAATGTTGGAAAGTTTACAAAGCCTATGCAGTTAAAAAATTAAGCCATTGAATAAATAAAGTTTATTACATTATGTTTAGATAGTGTTTATAGTGCTGTACCCCTTCAAAATAGTAACTTTTATCTATCACTAACAATCTGTGTCAGACTGTACTACTCCTTTAAGTGTTAACTAGTTTAACCCTCTGCAAATATCTGAGGTAGGCTCTTTTTACAGATGGGGAAACAATCTTGGACTTTTATATTTTTTCTTAATGTTACACAGTAAGAGGCAGGGGGCCAGGTGCAGTGGTTGATGCCTATAACTCCAGCACTTTGGGAGGCCGAGGTGGGCAGCTTGAGCCCAGGAGTTCAAGACCAGCCTGGGTAACATAGTAAAACTTGATCTCTACAAAAAAAAAATGCAAAAAAATTAGCCGGGCACGGTGGTGGGTGCTAGCAAGTCTGAGCTACTGGGGAGGCCGAGGTGGGAGTACTGACTGAACCCAGGAGGTCATTGCTGCAGTGAGCTGTCATGGAGCAACTGCACTCCATCCTGCGGGAGAGCAAGACCCTGTCTTTAAAAAAAGGCAGGGGTAGGGTTAAAACCCAGGCAGTTTGTCTTTATTGCCTGTAAACTTACTTGCATTAAAAGATGATAAAATGTCCCACAATTTTAAATTTAAGCCTTAAATTCTTGAATGATACTACATAGCATTTGAATAGTCATCTATGTTGTGTTAACTTTATGCTTGTCATTTAATTTTACAATTTGGTATAAGCCAATGTGAAAGCAAGGAGACTTTATTGTTGAGTAGGTGTTGTAAACTGAACAGCATATTAAGCCTTGGTGTGCTGAATATTTAGTTTATAGCTGGGATTAAGAAATTCACCTATGTTAATAAAATACTGTGGATGAAGTCCTGGGTTTTAATTGAGATCAGTTCACTTACAGCTAAGGATCAAAGTTTAAACTTACATTGTAGCATTAAGGGCCATCCTTGTTGCTAGTTGAAGTCTTAGTCGTTTTTAATGTGGCTGCTTAGGGTTTTTTCTGAGGTTCTATTTCATTGGACAGTGTTTGCATGTATACAGGAGGGACAGCAATATGAAACTCTTTGTTTTTATTCAAGGCAGCAGAGGTAATCTGGACAGATAGTAGATGTGCTTTAAAAGCAAGATACAGTCATACAATATATATAGATAATTTAAATTATTACCTTATGCCATCAGTTTGAGGGAGAGCATGTGTGCCAGCATTGTGGAGACTAAGTGCTCATTTATCCATAATTAAGATAAGCAAACTTCCCCACTGTACTATAAAGTTAGAATTTGGGGCTGAGGTGGTAACCTTACGCCTTTAATCCCAACACTTTGGGAGGGTGAGGTGGGCAGATCACTTGAGGCCAGGAGTTCAAGGCTAGCTGGCCAACTTGGGGAAACCCCGTCTCTACTAAAATACAATAATTAGTCAGGTGTGGTGGCGCACCCTGTAATCCCTCCCAGGGAGGCTGAGGAACGAGAATCATTTGAACCTGGGAGGTAGAAGTTGCAGTGAGCCAAGATCGTGCCACTGTACTCCAGCCTGGGCCAAAGAGTGAGACTGTTTCAAAAATAAAAATAGCTGGGCGTGGTGGCTCATGCCTATAATCCCAGCACTTTGGGAGGCCAAGGCGGGCGGATCTCGAGGTCAGGAGATTGAGACCGTCCTGGCTAACACAGTGAAACCCTATCTCTACTAAAAAAAAAAAAAAAAAATTAGCCAGGTGTGGTGGCATGAGCCTGTAGTCTCAGGGGAGGCTGAGGCAGGAGAATCACTTGAACTCAGGTGGTGGAGGTTGCAGTGAGCCGAGAACCGGCCATTGAACTCCAGCCTGGGTGACAAAGTGAGACTGTCTCAAAAAAATAATAATAATAAAAATAAAGATGGAATGGAATTAATATGTTCCATTTAGTAAAATTGGGATGGATTTGGTACAATTAGTGTTCATCGTAACCTATTCAGCAACCTTTTTTTTTTTTTTTTTTTTTTTAAAAGGCTAAGCATAACCTGAGAACAGCCTTTCTTAATTAGAGCAAAGGAAGAACAAGCCAGAGTGCTTTTGGACTGCCAAAGTATTAATTAATTTGCTTAGAGACTTTCAACTTTATACAGAATTTGAAAAGTTTGAGAGCTGGCTACTTACTCTGCAAAATGAAAGGGAGACATTTTAGAATAGCAACTGGTGATTGATCTGGCAAAAATGAAAAGCAGAACTTGTGAAAAATGAGATGCACTTGGTGTATTAATATCTAACTTTAGAAGACATTGTGGGTATTCTAAATCAGTGTAATAGTGATGACTGGGCCATAAAGTGTTAAATCATGATTATTTGAAGTATAAGAAGGCAGAAAAGTGTGGTGGTGTTAGCAGAAAATTTCATTTCAAATGGTTGAAGGTTAAAAACAATTGGGGAAGGATTAGAGAGGGCAGGCAGTGCTTTAAGGAAGGTGAAATACCTGGCTCCTTATTCTCCAAAAGTGCTGGATAGATGGTTTTAAATATTCTGGATAAGTGATATTTGATTATTTAGGAGGGATAGTATCTTCAGTGAACCTTGTAGCTCTAAGGTAGGCATGTTGGGAGTACCTTTGGAGAGCACTTTGCTATGCTTATATAGTATTTAAGAAAATCTGCTGCTTGTCTGAAAAACACTTGGGGCTTCAGAATAATAGTACAACATGCCTCATGGTATTCTAATTTATTCATTTGTAATTGTTTTCTGTTTCTTAATAATTTTAAGGATATTTTCCCAATATAAACATTGCTTTTTGGTTAAATAAAATCAAAACTAGTTCCTTCTCCATATCTGAATAGACCAGAGAATTTTCTTGCCTTTCAACTTCAGCTTTAAAAATGATTTTGTTAAAACTGTTGTGTTCAGGCTGAAATACTTTTAAACTTTGTTATTATTGAGAAATTTCTGTAATCACTGAAAGGGTAATTTAATAGTTAAATCTCAACTTAATTGAAGTTGTTTCTGTTGTGGAACTTGCCATGAACATCTTAGCAAGAGGTCACTGCTTTATAGTCAGTTCTCTTTCTCATTACAGAGATAGTATCCTCACCTTTATGGGTGAATGTGGGTTAATAACTTATGTCTAAAGGAAGTATTCTGGACCTGTAAGTTAAAGTGTTTTTAGAAAATTATATAAATAAAGATTGTACATTAGAAGGTACACTATTCAAATTAAAGAAAATGCATATTGAGAAATAACTCAAATTTCTTCCATGGAATTGGCAAGAAGTAAACATTTCAAATACACAAAACATGATGGGTGTTTTTGTTATGTTCATTTGATTATAAAATACCAGAGTTGTTTTATACGTGCTATTTCAAGCCTGGAAACTTTGAGGAAGTCCTAAATATTAAGCATATAAATGGCCCAGTTCTAGAATAAATTTTGAAAAAGCTAACCTGAAGTGGGAAGTGTAGTATATAACTAATACTTTTTTGCACTAAAAGTTTGCTTTGTCAGTAGAAGTAAAACAAGTCTGTCTGGCGAGGTGGCTCACGCCTGTAATCCCAGCACTTTGGGAGGCCGAGATGGGAGGTATCACCTGAGGTCAGGACTGACCAGCCTGACCAACATGGAGAAACCCCACCTCTAATAAAAATAAAAAATTAGCTGGGCATGAAGGTGCATGCCTGTAATCCCAGCTACTCGGAGGCTGAGGCAGGAGGCAGGAGAATCGCTTGAACCTGGGAGGTGGAGGTTGCAGTGAGCTGAGATTGTGCCATTGCACTCCAGCCTGGGCAGCAAGAGCGAAACTTCGTTTGTATATATAAAAAAAAAAACTCTGTGGTAAGATTGTAAGATCAGTAACACCTCAGTTAATCAGGTGTCTTCGAGGAAGTGAAGAAAAACCCTACTTCTCAAGGGATAATTAATTGTCTTTTTTATTCCAAGAATGGGCCTTAGCTGGCAGTATCTTGAAAGCCCACAAGATGGAGATGTTTCCTTATGAAAGGCCTTTAATTTCTTTACGGAGCTGAGTTAGTGTCACATCCTGGCCCCACGCATGACCCCTCCCCAGTAAAAAAGATGAGAAAACATTGAACAAGTCTGATTTGATTCCCATGGTGAAATTTTTAGCCATAACATAACAAATTCTGACAGTTTACCCTTAAAATTAAAAATCTCCAGTCCTGTCTTTTTAAAGGGTAGAAGGTAGGTATAGGATAGCCTTCCTTTCTTTCTTTCTTTGCACAAAGGGAGCATATGTAAAACTGCCCAATCTGAACTTTCTGGTGCTTTGCTGTAATGTTAGTAATATTTCACCTTAAAATCTTTGGTTTTGAGTATATATACCTTTGGTCTTAAAGTGTCTTGGTGGTTTTTGATTACCACCCATCACTTTTTGCGTTTTAAAGGCTTAAACACTTTATTGCTGGTTAACTGAGGTTCTACTGTAAATGAATGATCTAAGTTAATTCATGGATTGTACTTCAATGGATAATTTTCACTAAATTGTTTACATTGCACATTACTTTTGTCTTAAGGACTCTTAGCACATCAAAATAATTGGTTCACAACATAATTGTGAGATGTCGAATTTTCCATTTTATGTGCTGAGAGTTTTGTTAATGAGAAAACTCTTAAAATAGAAAAGGAGCTTCAGCATAGACACCAATGCTGGTTGCTGAGATCAATGGGGAACTGCATAGCCTTTTGACAAATTTAATGAACATTTGGAAGAGAAACTTGAAGCAAAGAAGCTAAGATTCTGTCTTTTGCTGTTACCTATTTAATTTAATCTAAGGAAAACTTTTAAGTACAGTATTGTTACTTTGGGTATACATTTATCTTTTAGCAAGATGGAAGACTTAATTTGCTGCTTGCTCACTATTTTTTAATTATTCAGGAGCAGCAGTGATAAGCCAGCTTTTTAGAATAGGATGTTCCTGATGTGTGGTTATGTAGGAGTAATGATGTTTTAATATACTGCCCAGTAAACTGGTGCAGTTTGGAAAAGGTGTGTTATTTATGTGGATAATATTTAAGGCAATTTTTTTTTTTTTTTTTTTTAGCATTTTAATACTGCTTTTTGTCTTTACAGGAAAATGTTTATAGGAGGCCTTAGCTGGGACACTACAAAGAAAGATCTGAAGGACTACTTTTCCAAATTTGGTGAAGTTGTAGACTGCACTCTGAAGTTAGATCCTATCACAGGGCGATCAAGGGGTTTTGGCTTTGTGCTATTTAAAGAATCGGAGAGTGTAGATAAGGTAGTGTGTTATGTGTTCTGATCAGTTAATAATATAAAATATTAACATGGATAGTTTGATACAATGAGTTTGCCTATTTTTGGTTCCCCCTTTGATAGTATAGGAAGGAAGATAATAGTTCTTGCTAATACATTTTATGCAGATAGAGGCAGATTTCGGAATTGTTTTCTGAATAATTTGTGTTCCAGGCTCTACTAACTTTTAAAACTAACTTTAACGATACCAGTGACTTAAAGATGCCTGATTAAAAGGATGTGTTTTAACAGTTCACAGAAATAAATGTTTTGAAATTTTGTTAGGCAAGCAACTTTTAACTGAATCATTATTTCGATCCTGGCTAAAGGGAAGTAGCAGTCATGTTTTTATATATTGTTGACAGTTAAAAGGTAATGGTTATTTAGTAATTGGTTACATTTGTGTATTTCCTACCATCTTTAAGACATAAACACTAGTATATGTTGGTTGATATGACATCACCAACATGACTTGACAGTTTAATCTTGAGCAAGTCAACATATGCCTGGCATTATCTGTATTTAACTATAGTTACTTTTAAGTAAGTTAATATTCTCTGAACTTTAGTTAAGATATATATTTTTTTAAATGAAAACTTCAATTTCCTTAGGTTATGGATCAGAAAGAACATAAATTGAATGGGAAGGTGATTGATCCTAAAAGGGCCAAAGCCATGAAAACAAAAGAGCCGGTTAAAAAAATTTTTGTTGGTGGCCTTTCTCCAGATACACCTGAAGAGAAAATAAGGGAGTACTTTGGTGGTTTTGGTGAGGTATGTTATAACTGTTTTGACCCAGTTTATGTCAAAATTAGTGTGAATGTGATTGTCCCATTAAGTGGACTCAAAGTCACAGGGCTTTTCAAAGCTATTAGGGCAGATTGTGTGATTTGTTTTTGAATGAGGATGTTGTAAATACTTTATTAGCAGGTCTTTGAAGGTTGGATGATGTGTTTTTTTTTTTTTCATTGAGCACCTACTCTGTGTAAAGTATTGCTGGGGTAGTGTATACTAAGATGAAATAGACAGGCATTTGTAAGAAATTTATCAGATTTGAAGAAGTAAAAACAGACACGAGGAAGAAATCCACTTGTTCAGAATAGGAAAGGAATTAAGAATAGGGTGTAGTGCCTTATTAATTGAAACACATGTATAAGTGCCCATTTAATGAGAGTACTAACGATAGACTCATTAGTAAGACTGGACGCGATGGCTCATGTCTGTAATAATCCCAGCACTTGGGAGGCTGAGGCAGGAGGATTACTGGAGACCAGGAGTTGAAGACCATCCTGGGCAACATAGTGAGAACCCCTCTCAATTAAAACAAACGTAGACTCATTAGTGAAATATATAATGGAGGTTTCTTTTATGAATTAATGATTTAAAGCTAAGTTGAGAAATTTGTGACCTTGGGCTCCAGATACAACCTGCAGATATTTATTGCTTGATTGAAACAAATATGTTTTTTTAGTACTGAGGATTTGAGATGCTGCCCACAAAATGCAATATCCAGCTTTTCTTAAATATTTGCAAGAGCATGCAGCGTTGGAACTGACACTGCCCTCCCACACAGCAGCATCTCTAAAACTAAGTAGTAGCTTCCACCTTGGTTTGGGGATGTAACTCTCCAGTTTTTAGTAGTCCTCACCACCCTACTTCCTATTTTCTCTTAAATACATTTTTATTCTGTTTTTCTTAAATTTGACTGTTTTCTTCTTCTTTTTGACCATTTGAGTTTGTGACCCTTGAGTTAGGTAGTAAATGTTCAGTACCTGGTGTTTGTAAATAGTTGTGAAGACCTTAGATGGAATGGATGTTCTAATTTAAAGAATTCCTTAAAAGGATTAGAATAAACAGGAAGAAACAGGAGACGAATAGAGCTTTAGTGTCAAATACATGTTTTCTGTGTGCATTTCCCCACCTCTAAATGTGTGTGTGTGTGTTTTAAGGTCAATAAAATGCAAGCTAGCATGTTAAAGTTTGCTTTTTAATATCAGGTGGAATCCATAGAGCTCCCCATGGACAACAAGACCAATAAGAGGCGTGGCTTCTGCTTTATTACCTTTAAGGAAGAAGAACCAGTGAAGAAGATAATGGAAAAGAAATACCACAATGTTGGTCTTAGTAAAGTAAGTTAAGCATCTTTAGTTGTAGAGAAAACTTGCTGTTACAAAGAGTTTTATAATTTATCTTTCTCTAAAAAGGCTTAAGTTTTTTGTATGCTTTAAAAACTTCTTACTGGTTACTTAACCGTTGAGCAACTTTTTGTGGGGAGCAGGACGGACACATTTGTTA